CAATCCTTGGAGATGGTCATCATGCTCAGAAAAATGTAGGCACAGCACAGGAGAGGAAGACCTCGCATGAAATGGATTGATAGAGTAACTAGGGAAATGCGGGTAGGTGTTTCCGAGTCAGAGAGACTGGCTCAAGACAGGGCAGGCTTCGGAGCTATTATACACAGGGTGCTACGCATCGCAGACAACTCAACGGCACATAACAACAACTGTATCTTTCTAAGCCTTTATGTATAAACTTTTCTTCTCTGGTGGCAAGAAGTTGTGCTACAATCCCAAAGGCCACCACCAGCTGAGCCACAGGAGAAGGATGAGTAATCGCCTCCCTTGCAATTAACTGCCTCTGAAAATCCTCCAGAAGGTCAGCTATGGGTCAGTTCCGACTCTATGGTACACAACAACAGCAACAACAAAACTTCATGTATTGTGTGGAAATGTGTGAAGTCAAAATTACTTTGGAAAATAGTCTGGCAGTTTCTTAAAAAGTTAAGTATAATCTGTCATATTTTTATGGCATTAAGCTGGTTCCTACTCAGAGCAACTAATATAAAACAAGTCAAAATGTTACCTGAGCCTGGGCCATCCTCATAATTGCTGCTGTGTTTTGACCCCATTGATGTAGACACTTTGTTAATCCATCTCACAGAAGTTCTTTTCCAATAAATCGCTAACAACTAAGTGTGAGCGGTCGATCCTAAAGTAAGTGAATTGATGGCTCACCATTCTTACTTCTTAGCAGCAATCAAGTTGTAGTTCATCCAAGACAAATTTGTTTGATCTTCTTGTGTTACTATATATTCACTATTCTCCTTAACATCTTATTTCAAATACATAATTTCTTCTGTCTTTTCTATTCACTTTCCAACTTTCTGTGACCATAGGGCAGTTAAAAATAGGCACACTTCAAAGTGACATGCTTTTCTAAATTTTTTTAAACACTTCCAAGAGTTATTGTACAGTGAATTTTTATAATACACTACGTGATTGAGTTCTTAACCACTCCTTGAATGGATATTGATTATGTATCCAGATAAAAGGAAGTCTTTGAAACTCTGATCTTTTTCTTATTATGATGTTGTCATATGTCCTTGCAATTCCACTATCTGGGGCTTATCCAAGGAAAATGAACATGTATATCTTCACAAAAATGTAGTTGTTAAGTGTCAGCAGTGGACCACCACTCATAGTAACCCTATTAACAACTGATCTAAACTTTGCCCTGTCCTGAGCCATGTTCACAGTCTCTGACATGCCCGCACTCATTGGTGCAGTCCTGCACCAGTTCACCTTGTTGAAGGCCTTATTCTCTTTTCTCTGACCCTCCAGCTTTCCCAGCATGACTTCTTTTTCTAAGGAAAGATATGCAACTACTGGCAGAAATATTTGTCATAGTATGCAAAACTAGAAACATTCAAATATCAATTAAGCAGTTATTGTGTAAGTTATTATGTATATGAAAGGTACTATGTCTTTGCAATGGAATGCTATTTAACAATTAAAAAGGAAAAATGCTGATAAGTAGTACAAAATTAATGAACTCCAAGATATTTTATTAACTTAAAAAAGAAAAATACAGGAGCAATGCTTTTGTAAATATCTATCTAACTTGGGAGAAATTGGGGAGCATTATGCTAAGTTAACTAACTCAGACCCATAAATACAAATATTGTATAAGACCATTATTTTAGAATGCACATTAGAAATCCGGGAGTAGAGTGGAAGAAGTGGGGTGAGGGTGGGCTGAGGAATGGTGTTAATCATAGGGTTGCACAATTTAATGGGTGGAGAGGAGGTGAAGGAAATAGGAAAGATCTGGTGTGAAAATCAATATATTCAAACTTTGTAAATAAAACAGCATCAAATAAAGAAGAAAAAAAAGCAAGAACTTTTTTTTAAAAAAAAGACACAAAAGATTATTTGTCTTGTGACTCTATTTGCATAAAGTTTAGAAAAGGTAAGTTTAACCAGAGACACAACTCAGATAGATGTACACATACTCATTTTATTGTGTCATTCTTGCAATAGTAAAGAGATGGAAGCAGCCTAACTTCCCATCAACAAATGAATGGGTAGACAAACTGTGGTACGTTCACACGGTGGAATATTATGCAGCATTGAAAAACCATGAACTTGTAAAACACTACACAACATGGGTGAGTCTGGAAGATATTATGCTGAGTAAAATATTTCAGTCACAAAAGGACAAATACTGAATAATACCACCATTATAAAATAGGACTGACATGGGAGGGGCAGGGTGGAGGGAGACCAGAAGAGTGTGTAGATAATGAACACTGCATTGAAACAGATGAAGGTAAGGCTGTGTGAAGGGAATGTATGATTATTATATGTGTGACAACTGACAATCTGAAACAAGAGGTGTGTTACAAAGTAGACTGGGTAGAAGGAGGGAAAGAGAGGGAGGAGAATGTGCAACAACGAATGAATCTTTCTGTAAACTTCTGTTAGAGTAACAATTTTTTAAAAAAATTCTTAAAAGATAAGTTTATAGACAGAAAACACATCTGTGGGTGTCCAGGGGTAAGGATGGGGATGTTACCGCACTGTAAATAAGAAGTTCTTTGGAGTGATGACTGTAGTATAAAACTGGATTGTGGTGACAATGGCATAAATTTATGAGCTTACATAAATCATAAGAGTTTGCACATGTAATAATTATATTTTGTGGTATATAAATAATAGCTCAAGAAATTTCTTATAATACTTTTAAACCCAAGACAATTTATGTGGTAGGAAGATATAAAAAGGAAAAATTAATATACTTGAAAGGAAATATATTTGAAAGAAATGTAAGTGTATTTACATTAAGAAAATGACAAAATTAAGAAATATGTAAACTTCAGGGAAACTTTTGTAACTGACAATGCAGATATAAGGATGTTCCCTATTGTCTATAATTGTCATCAGTCAATATATAAATGTACAAGAATCCAACAGAAAATGGGTGTAGAATGTATTTACAGAGAGACTATGCCAATAGATTCTAAACTATATGTTCAAGCTCATAAGAAGAAAAATACAAATACAAAGACAGACACAATGAACTATTTCTCCACAAATTGATAAATATATGTAAGAGTTATCTGGGTTTTTTAATCAAATATTTATCAGATTCTATGGAATTAGAATATCACTAATATCACATGAGTGTTCATAATGGCTATATTTATAGAAACCTCAAACTATAAATAACTAAAATTTTTTTGCATAGGTAAAGAGGTAAATAAAGTATGGTACAAACAGACTATGGGATACTACCAAATGCAGACACTTAGATCACAAGGGCACATTATCAAGTAGAAAAAAAGAAAAAGCTAATCTCAAAAGTTCACATATTGATTTCATATCTATAACATCCTCTAAATGACCAAATTATATATGCAGAGTACAATGGTGATAGAAGTAGTTAGTAGTGTGACGTGGGAGGTGGTTTGACCACAAAAGAGAAGCATGAGGGAGATTTCTGTGGTGGTATAATAGTTCTGCACTTGATTGTGATGCAAACTTCACAAGGAATAAAATTACATAGAACTATGAACACATAATGTACCAATGTCATTTTACTAAAGATTCATAAATTTTGCGATGGAGGTTCAAGAATAAAAAAAAATCATTCTGAATCTATGGCTTAGTAGATATCTCTGAAGTAAAATCCAAACTCTATAGTTTTCCAGATGAAGATTGAACCCCAGCAACTGGTTTGCGTGTAGATGTAATTAAAAATACCAAGATCTAATGAACTTGGATAATTTCCAAAGCTTATAAAATATACACTCAGTATTCGGTCATTATAGAGTTGAAGAAAACATATTCTCTCAGCTTCTGGGAAGAAATGAATCAGACACCGAAAAATCCACCTAAGATGTATCCAGTACTTTATTTTACTTAGAAAAGAATACATTTGGAGAAAACTCAAGCAATAATTGTACAGGAGGTACCATGTGGAATGTTCAGAAGGTTCCATAGCAGAGAAACGATTCTATTCCAGAGATAGTGGTCTATTCCCAAAGCAAAGCATGGTGGCAAATGATAGGACAAAACAGAAGGAAAATAGTTACAGAAAGGGACAACAGATAGATAAAGCCAATAGAAGCTAGCGTTTAGGGAAACTGGGATAAGGTATCATCATTCTGATGAATGTTAGGACTGGAAAGTGCTGAAGAATGGGTGTCTTCACTGAGGTGAACATTTGGAGTATTGCTGATTTTTAAAAAGTCCTTAAAAGCAGACATTTTCTCATTGATCTTCTCTCAAAAAAAAAAAAGGCCATAACCTGTAAAAGGATACACAAGGTTACCACAGAGCTTAAGATGAGTGTTTTGAGCTTTTTCTTTCAGATTCTCTTCCCTTCTCCCTTAATCTTTTGATCTGTAAAAGTCAGTTAATATCATCTGACCTCCAGTAAATGTAACTTTTCCAACATGAAGTGCTTTACCCTTTTCCCCAATTAAAAATCAAGAAACAGGCTAAGCTTTATCTTCTTTCAGAGTTTCCAACACCACTTCTCAGACTAGAGAAGATAAAACAAGCATTAGACTTCATGAGATTTCTATCTTAAAAAACTAATTTATGCTAAGACCAAAGGGATCAGTTCTGAAAAATGCCACCAAACTGACAGTCCTCTTTAAGAAACATAAGCCAGGGGGTGCCCAGATCTTGTTGTTAACTTTCTTAGATCACTGGAGTTGGTATTTTGATGTGAAACAATGGAATTTGACACTGGGGATAAATTCCAAGACTTAAATTGTAGCCTAGGTGAACATCTACGGAGAAGAACGAGGGGATTCTGACGTTTGGGAATTGCCAGGTGTCAGACTTTGTCCTAGGAAAGTAAATCAAGGACTGAAACTTGTCTATCCATTCCCTTAAATGAACCCCATGTCCTCTCCCCTATTTGGTTTCCCCCCGCCACCCCTGTCTCAGAAAAGTTCATCTATATCTTTCTAAGACCACATCAAACTCACCTCCACGTATGTGCCTTAGAGAGGCCCACGGCGTTCAACGGCATTGCCTTTGCGCGTGCCCTTGATAATCAAGATGGTACCAGCAATGATGCCCACCAGACCCACAATCAGGCCCAGAATGCACACCATATTCTCCTTTGTCTCTGGGTAGGGGGTTGGCAATTCATATTCTGGGGAAAAGTAGAAGAGAGTCCGGAGTAGTGAATAGTAGTAGAGACTGGAACTTGTTAACCAATCTAAGTTATTTAGTCAAGGGAGTAACTATTAATAGATTAGAGATGAGAAAGAGCCAGTGATGTCTTGAAGGAATTGCAGACAAGATATTAGGGGAAGCTGAGTAATGGCAGAAGATGAGGTGGATAGAATTTACCAAATGGTGCAAGGTTGGATACTCTGGGTACCAAGAGATCAGATGAGACCAGACACATGCATCATCAGAGGAAAGCATGAAACAAAGGAGATTGAAGGATGGTTCATACCCCAGTGTTTGATGATTGGCTTATCAAGACCCCAGTGATCCACCTGGCAGTCATAGACATCATCCCCTGAGGGCAGGAAGGGGAGATAGTAGAACTTGCGGAAAAGGTGGTCTTCTCTGGGCAGGAAGACTGTTTCTGAAACTCCTGTGGTGACAGGTACTGTATTTTTAAGCCATGTGACATTGAGCACTGGTGGGGAGAATTTGTCAATGAAACAGATGAGGACATTGGGCTGTCCAATTTCTAGAGGGTGGTTCAAAAGCACCGTCACTTCTGGAGGTTCTAGGGAAGAAAGACAGGACAGAAATGAGATTTCCATGCTCAAGTTTGCCTTGTTCTCTCCCCCACTGAACTAACTGTGATACAAACGTGCTAAAATTGCTATTGCAATTGTGCTCCAAGGACTCTGACATTGTCTCAGATACTTATTTCTGACACTCTCCCTTTGAAACCAATATTGAGGTACAAGATAGCCAAGAACATATTCTTGGGTCCCTGGTGGATTCAAACTTTGTGAGTGTCTGTGGATGGCAGAAGCAGTATAGGCAAATATAAAGGAAGAAACAAAAATATTTGGACTCTGGTTTCATAATTCTAGGCTTGCTTTATGACAACTTTGTTGAAGTTTTTATTTGCCACCAATTAAATTTCAACTCTTGATGATTCTGTGTAAACCTGTGAAAATCAGTCAACATAAGGGGACATAAAGAGCTGAAGTAGTTCTTTTAAAGCTACAGGTTAATGTCTCTAAAGCAGACACGAGAGGCAAGCAGTATAGAGGTACCATTGTCAACTGGTGTGTTGTTGGAGCGCTTCCTCATGATTTCCAGGTTGGCTTTGTCCACAGCAATATTGGCCAATGCACCTTGAGCCTCAAAGCTGGCAAAATGTGAAAATTCTTCAAGTCTCCAGACTGTCTCCTTCTTTTCCATATTCACATGGAAAATCTCATCACCGTCAAAGTCAAACATATACTCGCCTGACTGGCTAGGGTACTGATAGAACTCAGCCTGAATAATCACATGATCCTCTGAAAAGACAAGAAAAAGAGTTAGGGTGGGGATCAGCAGAAAGATATGAAGAAGACCCCAGGACATGAGACATAGACATGTGGACAAAAATAGTGAAGAGGGTAGAATCCAGTGAAATGGAGGAATGATGGACATTAGGGGTGAGTCTGCAAAGATGAGGCCTACATGAAGCTGAATAGTGCTGCAGAGGAGATAAAAGGAAGATGACCTCAGGAGGGTGGATTTTCCTGCTCTCTGGGTTCTATTATTATAAAACCATCACCTCAGAGCACTGTAAGATGCACTTTAAGGAGGATTATCACTGTGGAGTTTGTTTTTGTTATTACATGCCATTGAGGCAAATATGATTCATAGCAATCCTATGAACAACAGATCCGAACCCAGTCCTAGTCTTTGCCATCTTTAATATCTCTGACATACTTGAATTCATTGCTGCAGTCACTGAATCAATCCATCTCATTAACTGTCTTCCTCTCTTTTTGCTGACCTCCCCACCTTTCCTAGCATGATGTCCTTTTCCAAAGAACCTCCTCTTCTGCAAGCATGCCCAAAGTATGTGAGAAGAAAGAAGCTTTGCCAACTAAGGGTGCACTGTCTGGCTGCACCTTCTCCAAGACTCAGATGCATTTATATCAGCATGCTTGTGTTCCCTTTACCCTTTGTTTGCTCTTTGGTGATCTTCCTTTCTAGAGATCTTCAACACAATGCCTGTGTTGACAATCTATTGGCAGGATCCACATTAAAAACAAAACAAAAAACCCAAAAAACAAAAATCAACCAAATTCCAACCAATCAGTTGCCATCAAGTCAATTCCAACTTGTGGCAACCCTTTGTGTGTCATAATAAAACTGCACTTCACAGGGCTTTCCGGTGTGACCTGAGGAAACAGACTAGTGGCTGGCTGGGCCTTCTTCCAAGGTGCCTTTGGGAGAGCTACCACCACCATCAGCCCTTCAGATAGTAGTCAAGTGCTTAACCCAGGTGACATGCCCCAAAACAACTACTATATATTTAACTAAGAGTAACGCTAAGAAATTATTTTGTCCTATTTATTCCTCTCAATACCAAATGCCTTATTAGACTTAGTTATTGGGCTTTGAGGGCTACAGACTACAATCTGAGAGAAGGCTGAAGAGAACTCTAAAACAACTGGTGTAAAGAAATGTGCTGCATCCTACCTTGATGAATGACAACTGGGATTTTAAAAAACTGCTAGCAAGAAAACCTACTGATGGGGAACAAACGTTTGACAATACCATCTCAGACTCTTTTCTCACAACAGAAGGTTAGGATACTCCTGGGCCTCCACAAGAAAAAGTATAATAACCCAAATTTTCACAGAGGAAGATATTCAAATGGCCCACAGACATATAAAGAAATGCTCCAAATCACTGGCAATAAGACAGATGCAAATCAAAACCACAATGAAGTACCATCTCACTCCAATAAGAGTGGCAAAGTTGAACAAGGCAGCAAGTAATAAATGCTGGAGAGAATGTGGTGAGATAGGAACTCTTTTACATTGTTGATGGGTTTGTACAATGGTACAACCACTCTGGAAGGCAGTTTGGCGCTTCCTCAAAAAGCTGAACATAGAAATTCCATATGACCCAGCTATTCCATTGCTTGGAATATACCCCAAGAAAATGAGAACTGAGGCTCAAATGGAAACCTGTACACCAATGTTCATAGCAGCTTTTTTCACCATTGCAAGAAGATGGAAACAGCCCAAATATCCAACCACAAACAAATGGATTGAGAAGTTGTGGTACATTCATACAATGGAATATTATATGGCACATAAGAACATTTTGTAAATTACTACCTAACTCGGGAGGGACTGTAGAACATTATGCTGAGTGAACTAACTCAGTCCTACAAGGACAAATACTGTATAAAACCATTATTGTAGAATGAGTATGAGGATCCAAGGCAGTTTGGGGGGAGGGTGTTAATCATAGGGTTGCACAATTCGATGGGTGGGTGGGGTGGAGGAAATGGGAAGGGCCTCTTGTGAAAAACAATGTATTCAGACTTTGTAAATAAATCAGAGTAATGTAAATTTTTTTTTAATTTTATTATTTTGTGTGTGTACCATAAAATCAGATCTGACTGGTACAGGAGGAGATTGTCCCTCCTTCTCCAGCTGCGCATCTGGTAGATTCAAACCATGTACCTCTGGGATTGCAATGCAGCTTCTTGCCACTAGGCCACCAGAGCTCCTCAAGAGTAATATTAAAAAAAAAAAATTTTTTTTAAAAAAAAGATTGCTAGCAGTCACCTCAGGTAAATTATTGATTAATCTTTTCCTTTCTAGAGCAAAGAAGAAACAAAAAAGAAAAGGGGAGGGGAGAACCAAAGACTTAAAGAAATAATTGCTTTAAAGGACTAATGTATCACGTGGAACACAATCACCTCTAGGGAAAGACCAGAAGAATGACATGATGGCCCGCTTCCACAAAAGACACCCATAACGAAGCTCACAATAGACAATTCTATAAAAGCTGTGAGATAATATGTTGTTGTTATGTTATGTGCCGTCGAGTCGTTTGCGACTCATAGCGACCCGATGTACAACTGCCCTAAACCGTGCTCTATCCCGTGCCAATCTCATTGCCTCTGACACACCCATCCCGATTATCCCAGTCACTGAATCAATCCACCTCATAGAGGGTCTTCCCCTCCTGTGCTGTCCCTCTACTCTACCCAGCATCATGTCCCTCTCCAAAGACCTGTCTCTCCTTACAACATGTCCAAAGTATGTCAGACGAAGCCCCAGAATCCTTGCCTCCAAGGAGCAGCCTGGTTTAACCCTCTCTACGATGAATCTGTTTGTTTTCTTGGCAGTCCATGGTACGTTCAATACTCTTCTCCAGCACCACAGCTCAAAGGCGTCAATTCTCCTTCTATCCTCCCTAGTCATTGTCCTACTCTCTGATGCATAACAAGTGATTGCAAAAACCATGGCCTGTATCAGGCGCACCTTAGTCTCCAGAGAGACACCGTTACTCTTGAGTACTTTAGAGGGGTCCCTAACAGCAGACTTTCCCATTGCAATACGTTTTTTTTATTTCCTGGCTGCTGGTGCCAAGAGTATTGACTATGGAGCCGAGCAAACTGAAGCTGTGAACACTCTCAATCTCTTTGCCATCCATCCTGATGCTACCGATTGGTCCGGTGGTGAGAATTTTTGTCTTCTTGACATTGAGCCTCAGTCCATACTGAAGGCTGCAGTCCTTGACCCTCTGCAGTAAGTGCATGAGGTCCTCCTCAGTTTCCGTGCCTCCAGGTAACAAGCCCCAAGGCGGAGCCTAAACCGGTTGGGAGGAGCAAGGGAGAGACAGAGGGAGCCGCTGCGGCCGACAGAAGCGGGAGCCAGAAGCAGCACGGGCACAAGCCGAGACCAGGCAACACAGAGGACTCCCACAATAGCTTCTGACACAAGCTAAAATGTAGAGCAAAATTAAAATTCACAAAAAAGACCAGACTTGCTGATCTGATGGAGACTGGTGAAACTCGAGAGTATGGTTTTTAGTCCTTTAAATTTAGAGCTGAACTCACCCAGATAGCACCTTACTGCCAAACAGTAGGCAGGGCTATAAAGAAAAACAACCAGGAGGAACATGCTCCCCAGAATACTGAACTGTATGAGAACGATCGATCGGCCAAAAGAAAAACCAGAACAGAGAGGAAACCAGAGCAAAGGGAAACAGAGAAGCCAGGGTGGAGCGGGGAAGGGTGCTGCTGACACATAGAGGGAATTGCAAGCAATTTCATGAAATAATCCATATATATAAGGTGCTGGAAACTAATTAGCTGTAAACTTTCACCTAAACAAAAAATAAAGGTCAAAACAATGCAAAGTCTTCAATTTTACTAGTTTTTCAGAGAGAGAAAGTTAAGCTCTGATGAGCATCAGAAAGTAGTTTTCCATAAAGTTTGGCTTATATCAAAATCAGCAGTATGGACAATATATGACATAGCTTTGTTTTTACAAGCTAAATTTGACTGACTACATTTTGTGGTGAAAAAATTGCTCCAACTTGTAATTTATTACGATTATGCTTTTAGATTCAGTCCCACATACCTACTACACTGTTTTCTTTTACTCCAAATAATGTTCTACAAACATTGACAGTTCATTTCCCCAGTGACCTCCTGGCCTGTCTTTAACTTTGGTTTGTTCTCTCAGTACCTACCTTTGACAGCCCATGATTCCTGAGGGCCCATCAGGACAGCCAGGAAGAAAAATCCTAGCACCAGTCCTCCACTTAGAGCCATTGTCTTCATGGATGCTTACAGAGGAGTCAGCAGAGCTCAATAGTGAAGCTGTACAAATAGGAATAATGGAAAAGAGATCTGGGGGTATAATAGATTTGGGAACAGGTCAGTTGAGCTACAGCCAATCAGAAAAATATTTTGAGATGACACACCTGTTGCTAAGGAAAAGGCTCACATAAAGAGGCCAAGAAAGGAGATCTTTTCTAAGTTATTAAAGAAGTAAAATTCTTCATCAATCAAAAAAATAAGCAAACACACAAAATAAAGAACTAATAGTAAAGTTTTTTGCAATATTGGATAACCACGAATATATTCTTCCATTCAAAACTAAGCCCTGGAAAGGGATCTATCTGAGGCCTGTCATGAGGCAACATTAGCCAGTTTGTTTAAATAAAAGCAAAAGTAGTTTATTGAGGAGTAGAAACAATCTGGATCAGGTACATGTCGATTTCCATGAAGTGTAGATGGATAACAAAAAGGGGTACATCAGCACTGTTAGTTTTGAAGCTAAAGGTTAAAAAATTCATATTTGACTGAAATATCATCAGAGGTATTAAGGGTAGGATATCTAGAAGTGAGAATTTGTCAGGAATCCGTGAATAAGTGGAATTACATGATTAGCCAAAGGCACATGGCATTCAGTTTATGACAGTGTGGTCTCAGGGGAGCAACAAGACAGTTTTACCTGTTAGTAAAAATGCTTCCGTAATCATTTCTGTTACTGGGAGTCCATTGTAAAAATCTATCCAAAACACTGTATATCAAGACCCTTCAAGCACAGGTTAACACGTCTTGCATCTGTTTGACTATAATGAAAAAGGCTGTTTAAGAACACATTGTGATGTCCTACACCTGACAGATCTCAGAGAAAAGGAATATCACCTTTAGGCTATATACTCCATCTGTCATCAAAGTCAGGGAAACTGGTGTTAGAAAAGGTAGCTTTAAAACTCCAACATGATGCAACAATGAATGAATGGAAATCCAAAGTCTCTGTAAACGTTCACTAAAATTAATAATAAAAAATAAATAT